CAGTGCCTTTATAAATTTATAGCTGCATGGGTGGGGAGGACATGTGAGCTAAATGTCTATAAATTATGTGGCTCATACACATCATCATGGCCTCTGCTTTTTATTCCTCATGTGCTACTAATTATACAATCACAAATATACACAAACCCAACTGAGTTCAGCATCTTTTAACCATGCCGTGCTATTTTGAGCACTTTTATTTCCTTTTATAAACAATTATTTGGCACCTTTATATACATATCGTGTAATTAATGGGAAGTAGCCTAAGAAAATTAAAAGTAATAAAGATTAGAGGAAACGTTACCCAGTTGTCAAAGTTAAACATTAAATTTAGGTCGCTAGATGAGGGCTGATTGCTGTCCTTTTGCCTGTGAAATTTGTTTTGCTGAGTAGTTTTGCTTTCATTCAGATGAATGTTGCTGTTGCTTTTATTTTCCTAATACAGGAAGTAGTAACTCCCTTTATTATATTAAGCTGTTTCCTTTCTAAGACACTTTTGCAAGCTCGGTCTGTAAGTTTCCTCTGTCACGCTGATCTTACATATTGTGTGTGTGCTTCCTGAAACCATTTAAGCATTGATGGAAACTATTAGCATGTCAGTGCAGCCTTAACAGAGAAAGGTTACTTGGTCTAAAAACATTCCCTCCTTCACAGAGAACCTTTCAGTCTTATATGATGTTGTATTGCTTCTAATTCATAGTGATTTTCCCAAGCAATTTTAATGAAGGGCCTAGAAGGTTTGGGGTTTAGAAACAGAATGCTTTGACGTTTTATTTCTGGACATGGTTTTGAACATGGCTTCCATCAGCCAGTGATTCAGACTACAACCATCTGATGGCTGCCTTGTGTGCACAGTCAGCCAGGCGTCTTAGATTCATTTTGCCTGAGCAGATGTTCATGTCACACAGAAGATGCTGTCACCTCTGACTTTTAAGGATGCTACAGGGTTAAGCGTTTTCAGCTGAGTTTTGGACTTTAATCTGAAGAATTCACCTCTACCCGCCTGCCCCCAGTTGGGCCTTTATAATCAAACCTTGGAAAACGTCGTGATTCACCATGTAGAATATCCTGTATCTGATAGTCACACCCGGGAACTGATTTTGAAGGAGGAAAGCAGACATGATTTGTCCTCCATAATGTTTCAGAGTTCCTCTAAGCCTCTTTATATCTTCAATGTGTACCATCTTTTGTAAGAAACAAGTTCCATATGTGGTGTTGCAGGGTTTTTTCCCTTGCTCTGCAGAGGAACATATAAGCTTAGTTTGATCTAAAACCCTCTCTTGCTTCAAGAGACGCCTTCTGAAAATGTTCTAAAATTGATTGTGGTAATGATCACACAACTGTGACTATATTGTAAACCATTGAATTGTACACTTTAAATGAGTGAATTCTGTGGTATGTGAATTATATCTCAGTAAAGATACACACACACACACACACACACACGCACACACACGAGTCTCCTTAGTTCAAAATTCTAATATTTAATAAATAAGCCCATGTGCTCAGTATTAATTTTGCTTATGATTTTATAAGCCTTTTCACATTATTCCCCTAGCCTTTGAATTTCCTAGCTAAAGAGCTCTAATTTTTGCAGTTTAACCTCACGTACATTAATTTATCAACCAACAGGTGCATACACAGCACCTCTCTTGAGTGGCAACAACAAAATTGTTTTAAGGACAATGGTAATAGAAGGAAGGAAGGAGTGATTGTCACAGGAATTATTAATAATAAAGTAGCAATTGGAACTGCAGCCATTCTGTTGGTGAAGCACAATAGTGACTTAACCGTGATGGTGGTGACAGGGAGCCAACAATTGAGTGCCTGCTAATGGCCCAACAGGAGCAGGGGATGAAAAGAAGGAATAAGTGGTTTACATCACAAAGGGGTTGTCTGAGAGCTGCTGGAGTGTGGTTCTGAGGGGAGGTCAGGCTGGAGACAGAAGGGATGATAACCATGGAGCTGTCAAGGGCATCTCAGGGGCTTAGGCGAGCACTGTGGCAGCTAGACATGGCCGGCTGAGAGCAGCTGTCCTGGCCCTGCCACTGTTGATTGATACAAAGGAAATGCAGAGAGAAGATAACTGAGCAAACCAGGAGGCCTGAGCAAAGCGTCACAGAATCTAAAAGCAAGACTTGGAGCCGACGGAGCCTTCTCTGGAAATTCTCCTGGCTTCACTTTGACCAGGGCTGGACCACTCTTTAGAGGATAAAACTGCTGGATGTGGGGTGTGTATGAGTGTGTGTGTGAGTGCCGTGATGGGCAGCTCAGCTGAAAAGAGTAAGTCCTTGACATCTGTTCAACTACTTGTGGTTGCACATTTCCAAAATGCACACACACACACACACGTGCCCAGCTTTTACCAGATGCCTTTGGGTGTACACACACGCACGCACACACACACACACACACACACACACACACATATGAAGAACACCAAGACTATGGTCCATATTCCAATTGCTTCATTTGTTCCAATGCTGTCCTTCATAGCATTTCCCCCTCCAGCCAAGGATCAGAGTCCATTTAGTTGTCATGCAGTAGAGAGACAGAAAGAGCAAAAGAGTATAAGGAAACTAATGGGGGGCGAAATGTTAAGTACTGAGGAATGTGGGTAAAGGAACATCCTCCCTGTGTGACCCCTGTTGACCTCTTTATCCCAGCCTCATGAGACTTGTCCTGTTACCCACTACTCTACAGCCGAAACAAGCCAAGCTGTTCCTACTGCTAGGCCTTTGCACCTGAGGCCCGTGGTTCTCCTGAGCTGCACGTGGATGGCTCCTTCCTGCCATTTAGCTCTGAGTTGAAATATCACTTCCAAGAGAGGACATTACTGCTACCTGCTATCTATGACCCAATCACTTTCTGTCCCCCTATAGCAGTTCTCTGCCTGGATCCATCACTAGCTTATAATTTTGTCTGTCTTGTGTACCATGTATCCCCAGTACCCAGAATAGCCCATGGCCTTGGTATGTGCTCAAACACTATTCGCTGACTGAGTGTACTAATCTAAATGTCCAGAAATAGGGAATCATTAAAAACGATGGCAATGCCCTATGGATGTGGTTTAAGCAAGAAAATGCTTCAGAATCCTAATCAGGGGACATATATTCAAAGAGAACATTTAGCCCTACCTTACAATATTGGCAATATAAATTAAACATTTATATTTTTTTAATTCAATATTAAATGTTTAAGATATATAAAATCTTTTTTATATTCTGTACTCAAATTGTTTTAATTATGAAATATCTACATAAATTAAATTGGTTAAGAGGGCATCTGTGCTCTATAAAAATATCTACTACACAAACAAGGATTCCAATTGTATAAGTCGTATGAGTAAGAAAAAAAAGGAAATATTATAAAAATAATAACTATTTTAGGGAAATGGAATTATGAGTAATTTCTCCTTTTTTACTTCCCAAACATTCTACATGTGGTTTTATTACTTTTCTAATTTAAAAAATATTTTTAAAAGACAAAACATAATACAGGATATGTATAATGAAATACTAATAAAACTGTAAGTGCAGTTTGGAGATGGAAGGACGTTCTTGAATTTGGCATGCTCAGTGAATGACGCTTTATGAAAAATAGTAGTAACTGGTCTGGACTTTGCAGAGACTGATAGGACTTTGAGGATAGACAGATAGGTAGAGAGAGCTTTTTAGGTTAAAGCAGCAGAATGAGCAAAGATAGGTAGGGAGCAACTAGCACACAGGAGACTGTGAGGAGAGAAGCCTAATTGAACGGAAGGACATGTGAGGTTAGTGGGAATGCATCTGGAAGAGTAGGATAGGGTCACATTTTAGAAGATCTTTTAAATTGGGCAGAGAAGTTTAGACTAGAAATGGAGGGAAATAAGAAAGTACAGTGGGTTCTTGAGAAAAAGGGTAATGTGATGGCCTGGGTGTTATAGGAAAATTATTCTAGCAGGAAGAGTGACACCAGTGTCCATCTAGTGTCCATGGCAGACACCAAAACCAATCACAGCTCCACTCTGCCAAGACTCAGCCTTCAGACCATCTTCAGCCAGCCCTCCGGTCAGCCATCAGTAATCAGTCCAAGTTGGCATATGAAAAGTTATTGCCTCCTCTGTGTGTGTGTCATACTAGAAAAGTGAAGGGTGGGAAGGAGGGAGACAGGAACAGAGAGGTGAAGACCCAAAGGATGAGGGCTTTAATAGTTCTGAGAATATAAGCAGGATAAGTATCTTGAGATATTTCTTTTTTTGTTTGTATTATAATTAGGCCAGAAATAGAGATCTTTTTGTATAACTCATTATTCAGTTGTTATAGGAACGTATTGCTTTTTCAGGCTTTGTCACTGGTGTACAGTTCCTTGGCACTTCCTTTTCAAAAAAAAAAAACAAAAAACACCTTTCCTTAAATATTTAATAAACTTTAAGAACAGTCGCTCAAAGAAATTATGTGCCAGAAAAAGACTCTCACCCGTTTTTAACCTACAAAGATTTGGATGCACCTGCTCTGTCCACTCATGGGAGTTAACTTGTCAGAATTTGTTAAGTCACTCTTTTGGGTTTGAAAAAAAGGTTTGTTTCCTCTTGTTTTTAAAAAGTAAGTTGTTTTATATTGCAAAATAGCAAACAAAATTTAAAATAAAATTGTCTCATCTTTGGGGGAGAGAAAGCTTCTGCTCTGTCAGTGTGTGGGCTGCAAGCAGAACAGAATGTTTATCTTAGCTGCATGTTAAAGATGGAACATAAAGTTAGCAATAGCCAAAAGGTCTTCTTTTGAATAACTTATCACAAAAGGGAAAAACATAAATCTAGTGGCAAAACAACTCTCCTTTATAAGCTAGTATTTCTTGGATAGGTCTGAGAACATCCAAAATTTCATTTCTGTCCACTTGTTTGGTTCAAGGTTACCTCCCCAAACCTCTAATTCAGGGTTTGATTACTGGGACCAGTGGCAGTTGAGTTTTTAATTGATCTTTCATTTTCTTTTGTTTTCTTTCCTATTATCCTGATCAAGAGCTTACAAGACCCTATGAAAAAGCTGGTTGAGAAAGAAGAAAGGAAGAAGATTGCCCCGCAGGAAAGTGCAGAGGCCTCAGTGGAGGAACCAAGTCAGTAAGTCACGGCTCCTTCTCTTGGCAAACCTTTCTTCCCACAGGTAAGGCCATCGCCATCCTCGCAGACCGAGTCTGCCAGGGTTTCTGACACAGGGTGATTGCTTTACTTCCTCACTTCTCTGAGTAGATGTACTAAAATTGAGGCCAAACTCCTCCCCTCACATATTCCTGCTAGGCCGGGACTCAATTATCCCAAGAGACCCCTTTCTGGGGTCTTAGGAAGGGCAACTTGTGAGGAGTTGACTGGGGCAAGAGAGGGCAAAGGTCCCCAGTACTCCCTGGCCTCAGACCCAGCTTCTTGCTCTCTGGGATTTCTGCACCCCATCTATTCCTTTTGTCACCATCAGTTACAAGATCCTGTCCTAGATAGGAAATCCCCAGCTTTTCTCTCATAGAAGGAAATAACTTATTAGCTTACCTCATAGCACATGTAGTACTCAGGGGTTATGATACACAAGTGTTGGGTCTTGACATTTTGTTTCTCCATGCAGACTTTCTGTTTCCTCCTCTGTGAAGCAGAGAGCAGCTTTGAGCGCAGGAAGTGACTCTCCATCATCATTTCTTGCCTCTTTACAGAGAAGGCTCCTCCAGTCATTTTTAAACACTGAGATGAACTTTTCAACATATGTGCTGCATGATTCCTCATCTCATACAGCAAGGAGGAGGTTTACAAGTGAACCTATGTCTTTCTCTGTTGAGATGTCGTAGCCCGTGGGATGGGGTTAATCTTGAGCTGGCTAACCTAGTAGATTACCTTACCTCCATTTGCTCTTCCTTTTCCACACAAAAAAGTTTAGATGACAATCTTTTGCTAAAACAGGTTTACATTTTTACTGTGTTTCTAAATCAGGTTTTAAATATATCTTTTTTGTCTGACGGAAGTATTTACCACCAAGAGTAGGCTTCTTTCATTTTTTTTATTTTTTATTTATTTATTCTTTTGCGGTACGCGGGCCTCTCACTGTTGTGGCCTCTCCCGTTGTGGAGCACAGGCTCCGGACGCGCAGGCTCAGCGGCCATGGCTCACGGGCCCAGCCGCTCTGCAGCATGTGGGATCTTTCCGTACCGGGGCACAAACCTGTGTCCCCTGCATCGGCAGGCGGACTCTCAACCACTGCGCTACCAGGGAAGCCCGCCTTCTTTAATTTTAAAGCAAATACTAGAAAATTTCTTTAGTGCAGAACAAAGACAATTTTTCACTGTAGGACCAGCTATAGAATGTACTCTGAATCTAGTACAATTGACTATTTTAGGGGGAAGCAATTTAACCTATTCCTGGTAGTAATGGTGATGCTAGCTACCATTTAGTGGGCACCTACTGTGTATGAAACACAATGCCAGGTGCTTTATTCATGTTCTCTCAACTCATTCTCATGGTGACCCTCCGTGTAATTAATGTAGGCATTTCCCTGTTGTGTTAATGATGGAAGTGGGGCTCAGAGAGGTTAAGGGAGTGCCCGTGGCCCCTAGTATAGTAAGAGGCAGGGCCTGGAGTGAGTTCTGGTGCCTTCTTTTCACCATATATGTTACTGCAATCAAAACAAAGCATTAACTTTTACTTAGAGAGGAACCACCGAAGATTAGTTTTGAGTGGTTAGTTTTAATTAATTTCATATTTCTTCATTATTTTTAGTACTTCCTTTTTTAAAGCTCAAAAAGTATAAACTAGTAACTAGTTTAAATGACAATGAAATTTGATAAGAATTTTGTTCAGAAATGGCAGGTAAAGTGAACCACTTTGCTAGGAGGAGGATTCAGAGGCACCAGCTGAATCTCAGGGTGGTGATGTATCTGCGTTGTGATCTTACCCATGAATAGTGAGAGTTCAGTAGGCGACAGTCTTGTGGATTTGAGAATGATCCTGCTTTCATCCTTATGTAATTTAGCTAACCTCCTGAGGTATCCTCTCCTGTAACACTAGGAATCAGAATAAACACCTGCTTGTCCATCAGTTTTTTAACTATGTTTTTAAAGTGATAACTGTAAGTATCTATCTTTGTTATACATAAATGCCCACCTAGATATTTACAGAATATGTGCCTTGGCATGAAACTGAATTCAGATGTTAAGATACTACTAATCAGTTTTAGTACGGGGACAGAAGAAAGCCAGCAAATTTATTTCTTCTTCCAAAAATATATAGCATGTAAATGACTGTATGTTCATATTGTGTGTGTGTATGTACAGTAATAGATATTGTAGAGAAAATCTGGCTCTATCATAAGTATAACATTTCAGAACAACATTACTAAACTTTGTTTTTTAATTTTAAGGTTAATTTCATTAGAGGATGAAAACCAGCTCAAGGAATCCTCTAGTTTTAAGAGTAAGTTTCGATTTTTATTTAGAATTCCTTCTGAAATACTGCTGCACAACAGCCAGCTCGTGTTCTTTTTTGGTAAACGTCTTCTAGACCTTTTTTTCCAACTGAGAAAATATATTAATTTGCTTCCTATCATTTAAGTTTTAAATTTTCAAATATCAGTGCTGTTGACCCTATAGCGTTATTGAGAGAGGTTGTATATTTTGAACTAGAAAACAGCATCATTAGTCATTTCAGCAGCAGCCTGTAAGGGGAGCATCACTATTGATACTATTTCTTTTACAGCAGGTGATAACATTTCTGCTATTACCATTACGAGTTGTAACTGCCATTTGGGCTGTAGAGATGGTGGTAAAGAGATTACATGATGACATCAGGGGAGTTCGATTTTGGCTGTGTCATGGGGTGTGTATTGGTCATGGTTGGGAACAGATGGGAGAGCTCAGACACTGCTCTTCCAGGTGGTTCCTGGGCCTGCTCAGTACTGAGTGGTACCAGATCCCTCTGGCGTACTGACCCTCGTGTGGTCGGAAGAGGGATCAGAGCACTGGTGGACCAGACAGTGTGCTGTGAAGGGCTTGTCAGCTGTTCCTGCCTTCTGCTATTACAGCCCATTCATTCACTGGTGGTTCTCGCATGAGGAGCACGGGGTAGGGTAAAGTGTGACAGAACTCAGGATGGAAAGCTGAACCTTTCGCTGGGACTCAAATTCTTGGAGATGCAGGGGAAAGTTTTATAGGTAATAAGAAGAGAACTAAAATTACCCCAACCGCCTGTTCAGCCTGGCCCTCTCGGAATGTATCTGCCTCTGCCCTTTGCTGGGGCAGCCTTTCCAGGAGACAGGAGGGGGCAGATTACACCCTGGAACTCCCCCTCTCTTCCATCTCTTCCCTTCACACTGTCTTCCTTCCTACTTTTCCAACCACATCACCTACTTTATTCTTCTCCCATTTACTGCTTTCTTTGCTTTTCCCGCATCTGTCTTTCAACAGGAAAAAAAAAAAAGCTATCACTTTTTTGCCTCTACAGCTTGGCTTCCTGTCATCCCTTCATGCTGTATGCCTTCACTTACTCATGTACTTGTTCATTTGTTCAGCAGATGTTAATTGAGAGCCACCTCTGTGGCGGACACAGCACAGGGCTCTGGGCCCATGGTGGTAGACCCTTCCAGGATGGGGCTTACAGTCAAAAGGGGAAGCAGGTGGTAACCTAACAATTACACAAGTAACTGGGCAACTCCAACTTGGGTGAGGGCTGCAAGGGCAATGGGCATGTGTGTTAGGGTGACTTCACCTGTTTGAGGGCATCGGGGAACTGGCTAAGTCAAGGCTACTGCAAGACCTATCAAAGCAAAAGAAACAGCCTGGGCAAAGACTGTGAGCCAGGGAGGACCAGGGGAAGGTCAGAGGAACAATGTCCTAGAGGTTGACGGAGGGAGTAAGTGATAGAAGAAGCCAGAGGGGCAGGCTGGCCATGTAAGAGTCTCTGACTGTATTGATCCACACCCTCCAGCCTCAGGATCATGCAGGGCCGACAGCACGAATCCTATGGGAATCTAAGTAATTGAATAGAAAAATTTTAGTTTTGTGGGAAAAATGTAAACTCCAGTTGATTCTATTTCTATTCAAATTATCAGTATAGATCGTTTATTTATACAACATGCGACAGTACGGGGGGATCACATTTTCTCTTTGTGACGTATGTTCACTTGCTTGTGGTAGCTGCATAATATTTTGAGATCGTAAATGTTGATTTCCTTATTTTATATATACACAGAATGGAATCCATTATAATGAAGTGCCATCTGTCCTTTATTCTGGGACCTGTAGAAAGTCTAATGTACCTATGAGCAAACCAAGTTTTAAGGCTGTTATATTGTTGCATACACACGCACATGCACACGTGTGTGTGTGCGCACACACACACACACACACACACACACACACACTTTATCAGGCAGAAGGTACAAAGAGTTCCCCTATATGCCCTACCCCCGCACATGCATAGCCACCCCCACTAGCAACATCCCCCGCCAGGGTAAACAATCAATGAACCAACACTGACATATTATTATCACTCAAATTCCATGGTTTCCATTAGATGTTGTACAGTCTGTAGGTTTTCACAAATGTTTAATGCCATGTATCCCCCACATGCAGAGTACTTTCAGTGTCCTAAAAATCCCCCGTTGCTTCACCTATTCAACTTTCCCTCCCCCAAACTCCTAGCAACCACTGATCTTTTTATTGTCTCCATAGTTTTGCTTTTTCCAACATGTCCTAGAGTTGGAATCACGCTGAATGTAGCCTTTACAGGTTGGCTTCTTTCACCCGCAATCTGCCCTTTTATTTTAGCCAGGCCCACGTGGCTGAGGTTCCTTAGCGCACCGTCCCTCCATCTTCTAGTACTTAAGTCACACATTTGTCCGTAGAAGGAGAATTGTTGATCGGCGACATATAGTTTTCTACCAAACAAAACAAGGATTCAGGGCTGTTAACTCAGCATTCATTGAGAGCCATCAGCTTGAGTAAATTATCATCTGAGGACCCCTGCTTCTGTGTGAGTGAGTTTGTGCATATACCATTTCTTCTGGAAGCCATGTATTTACCTTAGCGTTGGTATATGAACACACACACCTTTCTGAATTGGTGATAACCAAATGCATGTGTTATATTTACAGCTGAAGATGGAAAAACTGTTTTATCTGCCTTAGACAAAAGCTCTATACATAATGCATGCTCAGGTAATCTAGATTAAGGAAAACAACTCAATTTTAGTAATTTGACTCAAACTCCTTACAAAATGAAATGACTCAATTTTCTTTTCTTTCTTCTCCTCTAATGAACCTATAGATGAACTATTAGACATGAAACTCGAGGAAGGTGGTAAGATTTATGCATTTCTTTGGGGTTATAATTCGTTTAATATTTTAAATACTGTTGTTACATGCAGGAAAATGTAATTTTTATCTTTTGAATAGCTTTGCATTCCCAAGCAATTGTTTTTAGGTGACTGTCATTTGTCTTTATAAGTGACTTCAAATATGCTCAAGCACAAATAGTATGTGTAGATCTGTCATCTTTATTGTAATTACATAATGTTCAAACTACTAAAGCTAAAAGGTATTATGTCAGAGGTTGAATGCTGGAGTAGAAAAAAACCATGGCTTTCAGAATCAGACAGACCTGAATTTAAATATGGTTCTCCTATAAATGATCTCTATGGCCTTAAGTAACTTGCTTCATACTTAAACTCTTTTAGCCTCAGTTGTTCTCATTTGTAAATTGGAGCCAGTAGCAACAGTCTTGCTGGGTTATCGCCAGGATTGGAGATCAAGCATGCAAAGGGTCTTTCATTGTCTCTGGCACAGGGACACTCTCCAAAGGGTAAGCAGAGATGGTAGGACTAGAAATGTTGCCCTGCTGGGACTTCCCTGGCAGTCCAGTGGTTAAGACTCTGCGCTTCCACTACAGGGGTCACGGGTCTGATCCCTGGTTGTGGAACTAAGATCCCACGTGCCGCGCGTAGTGTGGCCAAAAATAGATACATTTTTAAAAATAAATAAATAGATTATAAATTATGAATTTAGGCAATTTTCAAAAAAAGAAAAATCTAATTAAAAAAAAAGAAAGAAAGAAATGTTGCCCTGCTGATGTACTCTGCTTATCTTCATTGAACCTTAGTTAAATGCACAGGGAAAGCTTGCCTGGCCAGGTCCCACACCCAAGTTCACCAGACCTAAAATCATTTACTAAATAACCCCCCATAAGAGATTCCAGAGCTATGGATTTGGATGAGACATGCCTAGTCTTAAGCGGTCCCAAGAAATTGAGTGTGTTCAGCTTGGTCATAGCCTTTGCTTTCCATCCTACCCCTGAGATTCTCAGCCAAATTCTAGAGCATCCCTTGCCCTGGGTGGCTGGCACACCATCTGCTCTGGTGTTACACGTTTCTTACAGGACTAGAAGTGGGCCAAGATCATCCTGCCGGCCCCACTTACCTAGGGCTGATGATTTTCTCTACTCAGTCTTTGCTTGATTTGGATTTAATTCCCAGAGTGTGAGAGGAGAAAGTCTGGAAAACAGAAGACATTGGTTAAAGTTTTTTCAAAATTGGAAAGACATCACAACTCTAGCACTAAGTTTCCAAGGCTTTAAAAAAAAAAAAAAAAAAAAAGTTTCCAAGGCTAAGGCATATAAACTTGAGGGCAGAAACCCACTTTCCTTATTAATTTTTCATTCTAGGCAACACACTGTGCAGTATTTCATGAATGTCCATGCATATTTATCAGAATGTCTACTTATTTGTAAATACTGAAATCACACCAGGTTATGAAAGTAAAAAAGCAAATAATTAATGCAGATTGCCATTACATGGCCTATATTTTCATTAAAATGTTTCTCCCTTGGCTTAAGGATAGAATATTTTGATGAAATGAAAGTGCTTTTAAACAAATTATTTTTTGGAGGGGGAAATATTTCAGTCTTACAAAGGTGAGATAAGGACAGTAATGTAACAAGTAATAGGTACCCACCACCTAGTTTTAGCAAGTCTTAACATTTAACAAATTATTTATAATTAAACATAAGCTTCAATTTATTTTGATAGGAATATGATTTATCCTTATTCCCAACCTCTTGTTTATATAGTTTGCTCTTTGCTTTTATTATCTCCTGTTTAATTTCATTATTTTAATAAACATAATTTTTGAGTAGGTGATATATTCACACTGGTGCAAAAATTTAAAAATGTATACAGTAAAAAAACTAAAAACAAACCTCTCACTCCCATTGCTGCTGCCCACTCTCCTCTCTACTCCAACACTCCCATCCCTTAGTGCATCCCTCCAGTGTTTCTTTACACACACACAAGCACATTTGCGTCTATAGCCTCGTGTTTCCCTGCTTCTTCCAAAAAAAGTTTCTTGCTTTTGGATTTTGACTTTTCAAACTTGGTTGTAATGGTACAACACTAACCCAGTAGCCATGCCTTTCTTCACAGAATTAAGTCAGAAATGCTAACTGCCCAAGATACAGGCTTACTTTCATGAGCTTCTTTTAACGCATATGCCAAGATATGTTGGAATAAGATTGATATCTTTCTCCTTATTTAAAACACCTCATTGGTTTGTAGTTACAATCTTTGTTTCATAGAATTGCAGCTCATATACTTTTTTTTTTTTTTTTTTGAGCACTCAACTTAATTCTGAAGATAAAGAGATGAATGTGCACTTCCTCAAAATGTGTACTCGTTCTCAGGCAGAAAAATTGATTTACAAATTTCCTTGGTTAAATGCAGTGTCACATAATTTCTCCTTTCCCTTTATCTCTGCCAACCCACAAAGCCCCCCTTGAGTCACCAGCCGTGCTTTCCCTCTATCTGCCTCTTATGCGTCCGCAGCCCCAGGGGTAGCATCAGCTTAAAAATTAACATGGCTACGAGTATAAAAATATTCTCTCAGTGTACAGAGAACTTGCGGTGATGGAAGAAAAGGATACTCTCAATTAGTTGACTTTCAAATGTGTGCCCTTCGGAAAACTGCCAGAAGGCCCAAATCCTGAATTAAAATACTGATTATAATATGTAAGACATTAAACAATCAAGAAATAAAAAGAGCTTAATCCAGGGATGGCTGACTTTATAGGACTGGGGGAGCTGTAAGCTCTAGCACCCTGCTGCTTGGAGGCTGGTTCACTCCCAGTGGTGATTCTGTTGGACAAGTCACGGCTAAGCCCTGGTACAGTGTTATCAGAGAGCAGACCGCTTCTGTCTACAGCAAGGACACAATTCTTCAGGAGCCGTGGCCCAGAAAATCACTCCGACTCAGTGTCATGATGAAATGTGTTTTCTCCTACTAGATAGATAATGTAATGGAAAACCAATATTTGGCCAGTTTATACAAACATTTTAAATGAAAAAGAAACTGAGTGACATTTTGAGATACTTGAAAGTGGCTCTGAAATCACCTTGTGACCACATGTGACAGTCCTTAGTCTCAATTCACGAGTTATAACATGTAAAGTCTTGTGTTCCTCAAAGTTGGACCAAGAAAAATAACTCTCAGATAACTGAACAGCAAGTGGTGGGATAAAGCAGAAGAGAGTTACATGAATTCAGCTCACCTAAATCTCCTAACTTGGCCTTATCCAAAATATCCCTCTCTAGGACAGGACTAACTGGACCAATTTTAAAATGGTTTAATTGTTCATATTACAGTGAAAATGTTTGTCTTTGGCTGCTTCCTTGGTTTCTATCTCCAGATTTGCGATTCTAAATTCTGGCCAATTAGCAAATGACTGAGACACTCACTCACTAGCTCCCATATGTCTGGGTGAGAAGCTTTAGCCTGGAGCAGTAATATGCATTTCTGTCCCTGCACGCAGGTCCTGCCCAGTCATTCAGAGCTGTCTCCTGTACTTACCTATATATATATATATATATATATATATATATATATAGCTAACTAGGGATCCCATTGCTTCCTGTCAGCCATGTGTCAAACACTAAACTCATTATCTTTTCTCATAAACTTTCCCTTCTCCCTGTCTCCCTCAGTCTCCTAGGGAGAAAACTGCTGGCTTGGTTCCTTTCATGAGATAATGGTGTACTTTAAAACCAAATACTGTTCTTATTTGATCACCTTATAGTCTGTAGTGTTCTATGTAGCTTTACCCCTGCTCCAGGTATCAAATTTTCCGGTAATATTGCTTTGCTTGTTAAGCTCTAATGCTACAATGGAGAAGCAGGCTCATCAAAAAGTATTTTTTGAGTGCCTACTCAGGGTCTAGCATTGTTGGGGGTTTTTTTCTCTGATGGGGGAGGGGTTTTTTGTTTTGTTTTTTGTTTGGTGTGTGTGTGTTTGTGTGTGTGTGTATGTGTGTGTGTCCCAGAGAGTGGGCAGGGTGGGTTTTCCTCCATCTGCTATTACTATCCATGTCTTTTTTCACCAGAAGGGAGTTTTTAGAAGCAGTATTCTTGAATTCCAAACAAGTACAATTTGTTACCAGAGCCTTTTATAATGAAGACTATTTTTCTTGTTAGACAGCTTCGTAAGGTAGTTTCCTACCCAAGTGTGAGGATAGTGTTGGCGTTTGGGGTTTTTCATGTGTGTTTCAAGTGTGCAGCCTTTGCAGTTAGTCATAATGTTGAGAGTGGGGACCAGGGAGCAAACCAGAGTGTCTTCCTGTTTCACACACAGATGAAGGGAACTTCTGTGACATTTATCTGCTTGTTTTCCTGTGCTCTCATTTTGGGTCTGTGTAGTTATGTTTCCATCTTCTGTGTTCCTAATTTCTGCTGAGGTCATGAACCTCAGTATGGTTTCAAAAATATCACCCGAGTGGGCTGTCACCTGGCTCCTACATTAGCTTTCTGTCACCCACACTCAGTCTGAACTTGAGAGCTTCCTCTGAAGGTCAGTTTTCACTCATTGAAAACTCACTGGGTCAGAATCACTGTTCCTAGGGAATGTTTTCCCAGAGGCATAGGGTTTTTATTTTTGAATCCTTGGGCAGGGCAGGGCAGGGTAAACGTGCTAAGTGGGTCTGGCATCTCGACCATTCTGCCATGGTGCCTGCAGCTGTGAGCTTTGCCTAGCTACCAGTGGAGCCATATGACCTTAGAAACCCTACAAACTTTACAAAACTTAAATATTTGTTTATATATGAGATCCTTAATAGGCTCTGAAGTGAAAGCAGTGTGGTGCACTGAAAAAACAACTTCACCTGTGAGCCATGGGTTTCCAGCCAGATAATTTATAACTAATAAAGTATATGACCTTGAGGTCACCTAGCCTGGGTGTATTTTTCCTCATCTGTAAAATGAGTTAGACAAGATGATTTATACGATCCCTTTCAGTTGAGTATGACTCTTCTCTTTGGGCATC